GTGACTCAGCTGGTAAAGAATCTGTCTGCAATGTAGGAGACCTGGGTTCGATTCCTGGGTTGCGAAGAACCCCCCCAGAGAAGGGAACAGCTACCCACTCCAGTATTCTGGCCTGGAGAATTCCACACACTGTATAGTCCATGAGATCGCAAAGAGTTGGACACGACTGAGTGACTTTCACCTAATAGACATGAAAAGAGAAATCCATAGTAACACCCTCATAATGGGGCCTTCAGCATCCTGATTACATCAACAGACAGATCATCCAGACAGAAAATTAGTAAGGAAACACATTAGACCAAATGGATCTTACCAGTTTTCATTCAACATAATTTTGGAAGTTAGCCAAAGCAGTCAGAGAAGAAAAATAAAGGCAATCCAAATTGGAAAGGCAGTAGTAGAACTGTCACTCTTTGCAGATGACATGATCCTATACATAAATAATTCTAAATATTCTACCAGAAAAATACTAGAGCTCATCAATGAATTCAGTAACACTGCAGGAGAAAAAATTAATATACAGAAATCTCTTACATTTCTTACTTTAACAACAAACTATCAGAAAGAGAAATTAAGGAAATCCATTTACCATGGCATCAAGAAAATACCTTGGAATAAACTTACCGAAGGAGATAAAGAACTGTCCTTGAAAACACTGATACACTGGTAAAAGAAACTGAAGGTGACACCAAAGGATGAAGAGATATATTCTGCTCTCAGATGGAAGAATCAATACTGTTAAAATGATCACTGTTACCAAAAGTAGGGTCTGGCTGCTCACCGCTCACAAGTCATTAAAGAGACCCAGGTTGGTGGGAAAGAAAGTTTGCTTTATTTCAGATGCTGGCAACGTGGTGGAAGGGGGGAAGAGGTGGGTGATGTCTGTCCAACAGCGTGCCCCTCTAATGACAATCAGGGGGCAAGACCTTTTATAGACAGAGCTGAGGGGCTATGCAGAAACACCATGGTCAGCTCTGACAGTCATCTTGAAATTGGTCATCGGTGGTCCAAACCAGCGTCATCTTTGTTTCAGGTACAGTTAGTCTATGATTGGTTCCCATTTTTTGAGGCCAATTCTCAGAATTGTGGCAACTTACGTTGTGGCTACAGTCCAGTCATCATGTAGTTAACCTCTTCTTCCTGGTGGAGGTTTCTGTATCTAAAAGACAGTTCACAAGATATGACTCGACTACAGGTCTTTGACTTTGTTTAATGAGTGCCTTATTATTATTTGGTCTCCTTTGTTTTCCTTTGATTTTGCAAGTTCTCATTTCTTGGATTAAGCTTGTTCTTTGGTTAAAGCTTTTCCACTGACAAAAGGAAGGCAGAGGACATGGGGAGGGGCAGCAATGACCATATAGTCCTTCTCCATTTCAATACTACCCAAGCCAAACTATGGATTCAGTGCAATCCCTATGATTTACCAATGGCATTTTCCACAGAACTAGAACAGGGAATGTAAACTGATCCTGTCATGAGGACTCATCAGAAACACCAAACGGAAGGGTCATTCTAGAGAGTGAAGTAGAGCAAAGACGTGATAATGAAAATAACAACAGAGAAAGCCTTTGAGATTGGAGAAGAAGGAAAAGGTATGACAACTAAATGCAACACACAAATCTCATTGGGAGTCTCAAGGAAAAAAGAATAGAAGATATTTTGGATTATTTGGAAATTCTGAAAGGGACTTATGGATAGTAGTGCTGTAGCCATGTTGGTTTTATAAATCAAATGGGAGTATGTTTGTCAGGTATGAGAGTGTCTTTGTTTAGGGAAAACCATACTAGTCAGTCAAGGTAGAATTCACCATGTTCACACATTGCTCTTAAGTGGATGGGGAAAAAAATAGAGTGATAAGGGGATAAATATACAGAAAGTAGTTGATATATCAAATGTGTTAAAGTGTTAAAGAGCATATCAGTAAAAAAGAAAATAAAGTATTCTGAAAATTATTCTGATCAATTATTTAAAAACTGAAGAGGACAGAGGCATTTAATCCTGTGTTGTTTAAATGAAGTTGTCTATTACTAAGTATGATTTTATTATTGATCACATTTTATTACATTACTATACACTTAATAGGAAAAACAGAAAGTAAAGTTCAAATATTTTTAGGTAAATAAACATTAAAACAATTCACTCATAGGAAACCAACTCCTTAAAAGTTACAGGAAGTTTTTCAAACAGAAGGCAAGTTATATGAAAGTGAAAACTCTAAATAAAAAGACACTAAAGGTAATAGAAATGACAATCATATTGATACATGCATAAACTACACTCTCTCTTTTCTTATTTTACATAAGACACCACTAGTTCATGACAGCAAAAAGGATAGCATTAATTGTGGGTAGCAAATATATCTACCAATAAAAAGTTCAGTTTAGTTCAGGGGCTCAGTCATGTCCAATTCTTTATGACTCCATGGACTGCAGCATGCCAGGCTTCCCTGTCCATCACCAACTCCTGGAGCTTGCTCAAACTTATGTCCATTGAGTTGGTGATGCCATCCAACCATCTCATTCTCTGACATACCCTTCTCCTCCTGCATTCAATCTTTCCAAGAATCAGGGTCTTTTCCAATGAGTCAGTTCTTCACATCAGGTGGCAAAGTACTGGAGTTTCAGCTTCACTGTCAGTCCTTCCAATGAATGTTCAGGACCAATTTCCTTTAGGATGGACTGGTTGGATCTCCTTGCAGTCCAAGGGACTCTCAAGAGTCTTCTCCAACACCACAGTTCAAAAGTATCAATCGTTTGGTGCTCAGCTTTCTTTATAGTCCAACTCTCACATCCATATGTGACTATTGGAAAAACCATAGCTTTGACTAGATGGACCTTTGTCAGCGAAGTAATGTCTCTGCTTTTTAATATGCTGTCTAGGTTGGTCATCGCTTTTCTTCCAAGGAGCAAGTGTCTCTTAATTTCATGGCTGCACTTACCATCTGCAGCAATTTTGGAGCTCAAGAAAATAAAGTCTGTCACTGTTTCCATTGTTTCCCATCTATTTACCATGAAGTGATGGGGCCAGATGCCATAATCTTAGTGTTTAGAATATTGAATTTTAAGCCAACTTTTTCACTGTCCTCTTTCACTTTCCTCAAGAGGCTCTTTAGTTCTACCAATAAAAAGTACTTATACCTTAATACAGAAATGTTTTTAATGAAATATAAAAAAACGCACTACTGAAAGAAAAGGCAAAGTGAAAAAACAGAAGAAACAGAAAACAAATCTCGTTTCTGTTTCGCAATGATATTCAAGTGACAAATATAAAGAGGTTAGTTTCTAGTCCATCATTCCAGTTACAGCATTGACCTAACCAATGTAATTTACTGATGGTCATCCATGTAAAAAAAATCCAAGTTTAAAGGAAAAGCAACCCATAAAAAAGCATTTATTTTCTGTGTTAACACTAAAGCATATGGAGAAATGTGAGTGAAATAAGACACAAGTTAATATAGAAAATGACCTTTCCATTTCCCAGGTTTCTTATCTTCATCTATGAAATAAAATCTCCACCTGCCATGGATTAATATTTAATGAGACCAATACTGGATTATACACCAATGTATATCAGGTATCACCCCCACTTATGGAGATAAAATTTGTGGAAAGTCTTGAAATGTTTCTGAAGGAAGGAGTGTTCTTTCAGACAGCTGCCATGGTCAAGGGGGAATGGCTTCCTCAATATTAGCTTCTGTCTTCTCTGAGCAAATAATTTCATGGATTGACTTTCAGATCTCTCAAAGCACCTGAACTAACCTTCTGTGTTCATTGGATTTTACATAAAAAATAGTGTTGAGTACAAATGTCCAAAAGCATCAACAGCTAGTTACAAAATAAATAAGTCACGGGGATGTGATGTCCAACATGGTGACTACGGTTAATTATACTGTGTTGTACTTTTGGAAAATCCTGAGAAATTCAAACTTCAAAGTACTCATCACAAGAAAGAATCTGTACCACATGTAGGGATGGATGCATGGGTGTTAAGAAGAATTGTGGGATCATTTTGCTACATATACAAATATACTCATTTGTCATGCTCTAAAACTAAAAATAATGCAATATTATAGATTAATTATAACTTAATTTTAAAACTTGGTATTGATTAGTTACAGGATAATTTCTGTTATTATTCAAGCTGTCTACTAAATACACATCACTTTAGACATTCTTGCTAACAACTCAAGATCAGAATCTAGGAGTTCTAGGATCCCTGAGGAGCAGTAGGAAGGGGGAAATAGTGGGAAAACAGGAAACGAAGACATCACAGGTCTGTATCAACCATAGACAAAAATCAAAAAGGGCAATGGCATAAAAGGCAAAAGTAGAATTCAGCATGTAGAAGATGACAAAGGTGACCACCAGCATCAGGATGGTGCGGGTGGCTCTGGTTTCCGGGGGGCATCTGTGGTGTCCAGTGGAGGTGTGAATATACTGCACCCTCTGGTGGTGTCTGTGCAGGAGAAGCATCATGGAGACACTGGACCAGACCGTGAGGCTAATAAACATGGCATCAGAGATGGACCACAAGTAGACAAAGTCTGCTTTAGGAAATGAGGATGAGCAGAACCAATTGTCTTGGGAATCAGTATAGTTGTGCATGTTCTGTGGACCAGTGATTTTCAGAGGAACAACGATGTACATTAAGAAACTGAACATCCAGCAGGTGCAGCAGGAAGAACCAATGACCTTGGGGGCTCTTCCTCTGGGCATCACCCACTCTGCTCTCCTGGGGATGAGGGTGAAGGACTGATAGGTGGTCAGAACACAGGTGGAGCACAGGGTGGTGCCGCGAGCCACTCTCTGTATGTAATATACAAACTTACACCCAAGGCTGGACAAAGGGTTCCTTAATACAAAAGCTGCCACTGTATATTGAATTCCAGGGGACAGAAGGACCAGTAGATTGGCCATGGCCATGTGGGTGAGAATCACGTCTGTGGGTCTCCGGTTGTGGCCAAGCAAGATTGGAGAGATGCTGTGGAAGAAAAGAATGACATTGCCCAGGTAGCCCACTCCAATCTGTATAAGATACGTTGTTTCCAGAGCTGCCAGACTTGTGGTTCTCAGGGTATTTTTGTGAAAGGACATGGAGAGGACTAAAGTTTCCTGGAGCAGAAAGGAACCTGTTTGGGTGACGATATCAGCAGTCTTCTTACATAACAATGTTGTACAAGGACTCTTGCATTTTATTTCCCCTGGAAAGGATGACACTGTCACAGCCCAGAAAAATGAAACTGACAGGATAACATACTCCTCACCCCAGGGAAAGCCTTTATTATTTTAGTTTTATTTTTTTTTTTTACTTTAAAATTTTCATCTTCTACATCCATGTAAGGTCTGTGAACTTAGGAAACATGTCTGTCTTCTTCAACAACATTGTAGGCCCAGTTCAACCATTTTCAATGTCTTATTCACATAAATATAAAAAAAAAACCCAAGTTACATACAACCACAATATATACCAACTACTCAAAGGATCATGTTATAGAAGAACAAAGCATCAAACTTCATCATTTCAAACTATATATCAAATTTATGGTAACAGAAACAGTATAATATAGGCATAAAAACAGATGGATCAACGCAACAGAAAAGAGAGCCCAGAAATAAATCCATGCACCCCTGGTTAGCTAAGCTCTGACAGGCACTATGATTATATAATGGAAAAAGGATAATGTATTCAATAAATAGTGTTTAGAAAACTGGAAATTCATATGTAGAAACTAAAACTGAGAGACTAGACCTTACAAATTCTGATGGAATGAAAAAGTTGTAACTGCTTGTATAATAGATATTAACTAGATGTACTATGATCAACTGGCAATATATACAATTACTGAATCATTATTTGACCCATGAAACTGACATAATGTTATGTCAGTTACATCCCAATTAAAAAACTCTGAAAAAAGTTGGACACTATCTTACACAAAAATGATCTGAACTGAATCACCAGCAAAATTCCCCAAACAAGTCTTAACAGATGTAAGATTGAAATCACATGAAGTAACTTTTCCAACTGCAATTATATGAAACTAGATGCCAACAACAGCAGGAAAGTTGGAAAACTCACAGGTACATGGACTTTAACAACCACCTCCAGAACCATAGTCAGAGAGGAAATCCAAAGGGAAATAAAATATCCTGAGAGAAGCTTGCATGGAAACAGCAAACCAAAAGTTACAAGATTCAGCACAAGCTGTTCTAAGAGGGACGTTTTCACAAAGATGTCTACATTAAGAAAAAAGATTCTTTTTTTTTTTTAATTAATTTATTTTTTTTAATCACAACCATAGTGTATCTTTTTTTTTTTTTTTACATGTATTCCCCATCCCAGTCCCCCCTCCCACCTCCCTCTCCACCCAATCCCTCTGGGTCTTCCCAGTGCACCAGGCCCGAGCACTTGTCTCATGCACCCAACCTGGGCTGGTGATCTGTTTCACCCTAGATAATATACGTGTTTCAATGCTGTTCTCTTGAAACATCCCACCCTCGCCTTCTCCCAGAGTCCACAAGTCTGTTCTATACATAGGAGTCTCTTTTTCTGTTTTGCACATAGGGTTATCGTTACCAACTTTCTAAATTCCATATATATGTGTTAGTATACTGTAATGGTCTTTATCTTTCTGGCTTACTTCGCTCTGTATAATGGGCTCCAGTTTCATCCATCTCATTAGAACTGATTCAAATGAATTTTTAATGGCTGAGTAATATTCCATGGTGTATATGTACCACAGCTTCCTCATCCATTCGTCTGCTGATGGGCATCTAGGTTGCTTCCATGTCCTGGCTATTATAAACAGTGCTGCGATGAACACTGGGGTACACGTGTCTCTTTCAGAACTGGTTTCCTCGGTGTGTATGCCCAGAAGTGGGATTGCTGGGTCATATGGCAGTTCTATTTCCAGCTTTTTAAGAAATCTCCACACTGTTTTCCATAGTGGCTGTACTAATTTGCATTCCCACCAACAGTGTAAGAGGGTTCCCTTTTCTCCACACCCTCTCCAGCATTTATTGCTTGTAGACTTTTGGATAGCAGCCATCCTGACTGGTGTGTAATGGTACCTCATTGTGGTTTTGATTTGCATTTCTCTGATAATGAGTGATGTTGAGCATCTTTTCATGTGTCTGTTAGCCATCTGTATGTCTTCCTTGGAGAAATCTCTGTTCAGTTCTTTGGCCCATTTTTTGATTGGGTCATTTATTTTTCTGGAGTTGAGCTGGAGGAGTTGCTTGTATATTTTTGAGATTAATCCTTTGTCTGTTGCTTCGTTTGCTATTATTTTCTCCCAATCTGAGGGCTGTCTTTTCACCTTGCTTATAGTTTCCTTTGTTGTGCAAAAGCTTTTAAGTTTCATTAGGTCCCATTTGTTTATTTTTGCTTTTATTTCTAAAATTCTGGGATGTGGGTCATAGAGGATCCTGCTGTGATTTATGTCGGAGAGTGTTTTGCCTATGTTCTCCTCTAGGAGTTAAAAGATTCTAATAATCAAGCTAAATTTATACCACAAGGAACAAAATAAAAGAAAAAAGAAAAAAAACATAAAATACAAAAAAGAAAAAAAAAGAAAAATCCACACAAAGAGAAAATTAAGGCAAAAGCAAGCAGATACAAGGATATAAGAAAGAACAGAGTGGAGAATAAATGAAATAAAGACCAGAAAAACAATAGAAAATACCAAGGAAACCACGAGCTGGCGTTTGGAAAGATGAACATTCCCCTTGTCACTGAGCACCGGTAGGAACGTGAGGAGGAAAACAGTGACGTCGGACACCTAAGGCGTTTCTAACCCCACGGCTGCCCTCGCCCTTTCCCCACCAGAGCCAAGGCATTCCTTCCCCTCAAAGCAGGAAACTGGTCTTGGCCTAAACTCCCAGCTCCTAGTCGCCCCTCTTCCTGGAGCCCCTCTTCCGCCACTTCAATGGTCTCGTCCTTTAGGCTCAGCCTCCTGGCTCCACCTGCTCAGAATCACCTCAGGAGCCCCCTCAGTCACCATGACTGGCTCGCTCTCTTCACCTCAGGATGAAATTCATACCTTTTTGTTCGTTTCCTCCTCTCTGCTCTCACTGATAAATCAAGAGCTCTCGGAAACTAGAACTATTCTCCTGGTAGATGACACCGACCGACACACCCCGATTCCCGGTTCGCTTTGCCTTAGCCTTGGCTCCTCCTGCTGAGGCTGCTGTATATCGAGGCAGGGAGCTAGTGCCAGGCACCACCCCTGCTCTCGCGACAGCTCCAGAAGCGCGGGCCTGGACACGTACCTCAGATCTCGCGTTAGCTCCTGGGGCGCGGACCTGGGCCAGTGCATGAACTACGTGTCCTTCCAGCACAGCGACCACACAGCAACTTCTTCCTGCGCTGCTTTGCACCCCCATCCAGCCTCCTTGAGGCTACTATGGCCCATCCTGGGGGTGCCCTGAGCCTGGCCCTCATGACGGGGCTGCTCCATGAATGGCACTGAACTTTCTTTATTGGCAAAAGCTCTGACTTGAATCTCATGCACAGTAAATCCTCACAGGATCCTCCCTGTAGCACCCTCATTACTCCCTACATCAGCCTCCCAGTGACTCCTGTACATGCAGGTCCCCTCATCCTCTTGCATCTCTCCTCCCCCACACATGGCCCATGATCTCCTTCCTGTGACGCTGGGTATTTACTGGGTGAGAGATGTGATAGCTACTGTTTGTCCATTATGTGGGACACACAGGGATCAACCCCACAGATGAGGTGCCTGCCTGACACCAATTATGGTGAACTGCAGAAGGACCCTCTGCCCCACAGAATTCCTGACCCAGCCCCACGTATTCACACATAGGGCGGGGTGGGGGATGGGGTGGGCAGGCACCACCACAGCCAGAGTCAGAAGCAAACCCACAGCAGGTGCCCTTGTGTTGTGACAAAAACACACATCCCAGTGCCTGCCGCCCCCTGGAGCCTCTCTGCACCCACAGGTGTCGGGGGACCAGTGTGGGCAGGTCACTTTCCATGTAACAGGATAAGCTGGAAGCAACCTTTCTTAGAAAAAAACAGAGAACACAGAACTGTATTTTCCAGCCCCTTTTCTGATGACACACCCCTGCTTTCACAAAACACAATCTAAAGGCAGTTCTGTCTCTCTTTTGCTCCTGAGCACTTCTTGCTACACTGGTTTCCTCATATTGTCTTTGTTTTCTTTTCTTTTTTTTACTTCTGTGAATAAAAATGCTTACAATACAGTGGAAGCAGCAGGAGTTCTGTTGTGTTGACAGGTGTGTGTAACTCTTCACAGGTGAGCCCTGAAATCAGCGCTGATGTGTAGCCCAGTGCTGAGGGAATGCCGAGAATGAGCTGCTTAGAGGCATCGTCGTGAGCTGTGGGCAGCGGGACTAAAGGAGCCTGGAATAAGGTCCCGCGTGGAGATATAGTGAGAAAGGGGGCAGGGGGACTCCTTCCCCTGCAAGCATAGATCTGTGAGGTCTGCTACAACGAGCAGAGTCCTTGTTAACAACAGGGAGGAGCTCAGTGACTGGATCATCCAAGGCTTGGCACACATTCCAGAGACCCCATCCCTCCTCTCTCATCTTTAGAGACTCTGGGGCACAGGGATCTGTGGTGGACCACCCGCCTCTGCTCCCGGCCTGAGACACTCCCGGGCACACAGCCACCCTCCACCCAGCAGAGCATGGATGTGGATGCTCAAGGGAGGCCGTGTTGCCCCTGTCCCGCCCGGTGTGAGTTAAGTCTTAAGTCCCTCTCCTGATGGAGGCAACGTCTCTCTCTCCCAGTCTTTGCCCTGAGATTGAAGAGAAGGAAGCACTCACTGTCTGGTCTTTGCTTCAGAGCTCTGTGCAGGGACGTGTCTCTCAGGATGAGCCCCGAGCACCTGAGGTCATGGTTGTAGGGATGGTATTTCTAGCCTTGGTCTCTCCACAGAGATTCCATTATCACGTCACCTGCTGTGTGGGTAACACTGACTGCACGGGGAGTCTGGGGCGTTTCCAGTGAGAAGCAAATTTTATCCCCACTGTAAATCATCATCTTCCTCCTTGCGTGATTAAGGACAACTTTTGGCAATCAATGAAAAGACCCAGAGGGGCAGCCAAAT